GTGAATTAGGAACAAATCCCTTTAAAAATTGAAACCCAACATTTGAAACATCAATTTGAATACTTTTAGAAGTGAATTCGAAAAACTCATGAATTAAACTTAACTTTATTTTATTCAAACTTGCATTTGCTGTAATAACCCCAATTGAGGAACATTCCCCATTGCTCAACAAATTCGTATTGTTTCATTTTATATTTCATAATCATTCTTTATTTTAAAATTTTCAATACCTATTTCATTCATTTACATTGTTCTCCCATGATGAATTTCATCAAAATGACTAGTTGAAAATAACAATTACAATAACACCAAAACGTTGTCAGTCACCTTCAAACAACAGTTCTCTCATATTTCAAATCTGTTAAGTTTTTTTGTAATGGAACTCCAAACCTATAACATCCATTTATCATCAATACTGAAAAAGGTAATATATTGAATTAACTCGCAGTATAACATTCTTCAAAGTTGGCGCAAAAATTTCCATTGGACTCGGCTGAATAATTTCCTTTGTTCCTTCTGAACACGTTTAGGCCATCTAATTAGAGAGTGTGGAATGAAATCCTCCTCGCTTTCTTTCTGCCTTGAATTTCATCACACTGAGTGTATTTAGGAAAAGGGAAATATAATTATGTAATTTTCAACCAGGTCCAACGGTAAATTGTTCGAGTAAAAGGGTGTTAACTATTTCAAATTCTCAGAATTCAACATAAAGAGGGGTGCTACACCAAGAAGATATTTATTTTTAGAACAAATAGATCCGGGTAGCAAATTTCTTTCCAGGCCTATATTTATTATTTTCGGAGGAAGAGGGTTGATTTCTTTCAATATTCACCGAATGAAATTTAATATTTGAAAATGACTCACTAGCTCACTAGCTAATGCACGTTATTGGGACGAGGCCGATGTAGAGTCTCCCAAAAGTCCTATAGTCCGTTCATAATTTGTCGATAGCACAAAATGAGGGCCCAAGTCATAAAACTGTCGTAAAACTCGTAAAATCATAGGCGGAGGTTCCTGAGGTGTTTATCATTAAATATAAAGCTTCAGTTTATATTCGAAACTTGCCTTGAAAGGGTGAAGTTGTTACGAACGAAAATAATTTTTGGTTTAGTACATTTTTTAATCGCATTTAATTTACGGCTCGTTGGTGTTTCGGCGTCTACGGCAGTAATTAACGTCTCTAATATTTATTTTGCGAATTTTGTGCAGTGCGTGAGTAACTTTTTTTCATATTCCTACAAACATATACGTACCTTTCGTTCCTGCTTGTTTTGTTTGATTGCTTGCGATGGCTTC